TTCTCTCTTCCCGATTGGGAAGGAAATTGGGTGATGGAGGTGGGGGCCCAAGGGCTGAGGAGGAAGAGGGCCTGTTTTCCACGTCCCTGTCGTCTCTGCTTTTCTCCCTCTAACAGGCATCGGGGACCCGCGCAGTGGTCGCAGCCAGGACGCGTGCTGCCAGCAGGCGCGGCGGCCCCGGAGGCGCCCCCCGGGCTAGCGAGGCCCAGGACTGGTTTCCCGGTCCGGGACCAGGACCCGGTTGCTCTCGTCCCGCTTTCCGCTTGCCCCATTAGAACTCCCACACCTAAGACCAAACCAGCGGGGAGGGGAGCCGGCACTTAAGCAGATCCTCCCTGCCGGCCTCTTCCAGAGCGCCCCTGTGCGGGGCGCAGCCAGAGCAAGGAATCGAATTAAACGCCTCTTGGCGGTTATTGTCTCTCGCTAATTGCTCCAACAATGGCCACTATTAAAATGGAGACACCCAATTAAAGGCCCCGCCGGGCAGCGCTCGGCTCCGGGCGACGAACTGGCCTCCAGCCTGAAGCGAGCAGACCGCCCCGCCGCGGACCAGGCTGGTGCGGGGGCGCCGGCGCCGGCCTCGGCACCTCTGGCCCCCACTTCCTCCCCAGACGTACAGCAACCACGGCCGATTCACACCATTTTTATTGACCGATCGCAGCCACGGAAGATTGATCGAGCTGGAAGGGGAAGGGACTTCTCCCCCCAGCCCCGGCTCGCCAGGGCCTCGGGGCCGCGCTCCAATTTCTGGCCTTCGCTGTAGCTCTGCGCCCTCCCTGCCCCCAGCCCGGCAGGTTCCTGGCTTCATTTCTGTCTTTAACTGCGCGGCCGGGTCCGCCCAGGCCGGCGCCGCGGCTCCGGGGGGAGGGACGCGGCGTCGCGGCCCGGCTCCGCTTCTTTCTCCTGCCTGCAAATATTTGCTGCCTCGCTGGAAATCCGACTATTTCGCGCGCGCTCCGCTTGCAAAGTCCTTAAGTAAACACGCTCAAATGACCGCCCCAGGCGCCCGAAGCACGCTCACTCCCCCTGCGCCGGATTAGTAACTTTATGACTTCGACCCCGAGGCTCGGCTCTCCGGTTATCCTCCGCGGGCAGCGCGCGGGCGCCCGGGGCGGCTTCTCCAGGCACCTCGGCCCCGCGGAGCTCGCCTGGATGCGCCGGTCGCCAGGCTCGGGTGGGTGACGCTGGCCGCGTGGATCTCCGCTCTCTGGGTCCTGCGACCCCAGGGGTGAGCCTGGGGGCACGCTCCTCCCCCTCTGCGCCGCGGGATCCCTTTCCTTTGCGGGACTGAGCGTCCCACTTCCATCAGGACGGAGCCTCTGCAGTCCCGGGAGGGCGGGTGGGAGGGACCTGTACTTGGGCATGTGTTTGGGGGGGGGGTGTGGGTCCCAGCTTACCCCAACCGAGGAGAGAAAGTTAGGCTCCATTTCTTACCCTTTCCCCAAGAGGGCACACACACCCCGCTCAACTTGACGCCTACAGCAGCCGCCTCGAGGCCTGGCGTTTCAGATAGGCCAAGCTGGCTCCCGCCGCACCACACACGGCCCTGGGCCCCGGCTCCTGGGCGGGGGGCCGGTGGCTGCGCCCCGTCGCTCACTCGGCTCCGGGATGCTTGCCCCCAGGGTCCCAGGCATCCAGGCCGTTCGACCGCCCCTTACCCTGGTGAGGGAGGTCTCGCGCCCTGCAGGAGCCCGGGGCCCTGCTGCGGCGGCGGCGGCGATATCCTCCTGGGTCTCCTCGCTTCCTCTACCGGCGCTCCGCCGGCTGCTCCCGGGGAGGAGGGGGAGACTCGCTAGACCAGGCCAGGGCCGGGGTTCCTGGGGAGGGGGCCGTCAGGGCGGCAGGAGGGCGCTGAGGCATCTCTGCAGGAGGCCAGGATCCCAGCTTTGCGGGCTACGGCAGAGGGGGAGTCTGGACCACCTTTCCCCCCCCCCTTCCCCGGGCCTCGAGCCCCATCCCCTCCCCCGCCCGCCCTGGGAGGAGGAAGCCCGGCCTGCATTTGCCGGCGTGGCGGGTCAGGCCGGCGCCGGGCCTGGCTCAGACCCCCGCAGCCCGGCTCTCCGCCTCAGGCCACGCGCTTCAGCCTCTCTCCGGCCTCGCTCCCTCCCCCCTGCTTCCCCACGGATCCCGGGGCCGACCTCGGCCCTCCCTACTGGGTATCCCCCTCCCCTCTTTTTCCCTACCCACCCCCCGCCCCCCTTCTCTGTACTCCCGGCTCTGGGGCTGGGCCCGTGACGTCAAACCCAGTGTGGCGTCGGCGAGACTGGCCGGCGCGGGCCATCAAAAGAGCAACGTCCTCTTTCCCAATTACCCACTGTCAGTCCGGGAACAGGGGCGGACCGGCTGGGAATTAAATGTTAAATACCCCCTACAGGCTGGCTCCATTACACCGGGCATCCAGCCTCAGCCCCCCACACCTCTCTGCCAGCTTCAAACCATCCAGACCAAGGGCCTTCGAGATCTTTTATTTTTCCAAGGTGTGGGGAGGGGGTGGGGGTGGGGTGCGGTGGGAGGACTCGCCATCGCTGTGCGGCCCGACTCGGTGCTTTTTAATGAAAACGAATACTGCCCGCCCCCCAAGTTCTGGGCGTTATCGGAGAGGCGCCGCGCCACACCGCAAGGCCTCGTCCTCACAAATATTTTCCCTTTGTCTTTTAAAATTGTTCTAAGCTCACAAGTTAACATTTTCAAGTCCTGGCGTCAGCAGCTTTTTTCTCCCAAGGATGGCTCCCTTTTTTCTTTTCCCTGGCTTCCAGGTCTCGGACCAAAAAACCACGTTTGGGATTCCCCGCGTGACTTTGAACCGGGGTCCGGGTCTAGCGTCGCCTCGTCCCGGGCTGACGCGCCAAGAAGCGCTTTTCCTTCCTTCCTTCCTTCCTTCCTTCCTTCCTTCCTTCTTTCCTTCCTTCCTTCCTTCCTTCTTCTTTCTTTTCTTTTTCTTTCTCTGCTTCCATCCTTCATCTTAATCTCGGGGACTTGTAGCAAAAATGTGTGCGCGCTGGTCCGTCCTTGTTTATGAAGCGGTTTCCGGTGGATGGTAGACAGAAACTAAATAATTAAAAGGTTTGGAGAGCACCGTGAGCAGGAGTAGAAGCCGGCAGCTTGGCTGGCTCTAGGGAGAAGTGGTCAGACTGAAAAGAAAAATCGATGCTTCTTTACTGGGCCGCCCTAATAAACGGGAACTAAACGGGCTCAGGAGAAACGTGGGGGGAGGGCGGTGTGTGCGTGTGTTTAATTTAGGAATTTTCTTCCTGTCCCGTATCTAGAAACTCAACCCTGATTTCTAACAAACATCATCAGATTTAAGAAGACGGAGCCTCAGGAGAAGCTCCAAATCCGAGATCGGGAGGACCCACGTTCCCACTACTCTAAAATAAATTTTACTAATCTTTCTACAGGGATTGTGTATTAAAACAAGTCATCTCTCGCCCCCACCCCAACACACACACACCAAGTTAGGCTGAATATTGATGATTTTCCTTGACCGCATGAAAGGAATCCTCCAGAACTTACTTTTAGGGACGGTCTCTTCTATTTCGACTTTTTGTATTTGTAGGGAGTTTTATGGGGGAGAGGAGCGAAGAGGGAATAATGGCTTCAATTCAAATAAACCCCCCAATCCAGCTCTTAGTACGGTCCGTGGGAGAGCCTGCGGGGTGAACCCACACTCTCCTCGCACACATTGCTCTGGGGTGAGCAGAGGGTGGAACCTGAGTCTTCTCTTCCCGCCTGACCCCTGCTCGCCCCCGCCGCGTTTTCGGGACGGGCGGCTGCAGGAGCCTGGGCGCCGCTAGGGGATGCAGTGGCTCAAAGGACCAAAAGAGGCCGGGGAGGTTGGAGCCCGCGGGGCCGACCAATCGCGGCCCGGCCACAGCCTCGCCCGCTGATTGGCCCCTTCCCGACCCCGCCCCCCGCGCCCCGCCCCCTCGCCGGGGCTTCTGGAGCCGCACCCCCTCCGCCTGGGGCTGCGGGGCTGGGCCGGGCCGAGCGAGTCCGGGGAAGGTCGCCGCAGTCCTGCCCGCCGGCCGGGATGGGGGTAGGTGGAGGGGGCTGGTTCCTCGGCTGGGGAAAAACGCCGGGAGCCAGAGTAAGTAGGGCCCTGGGCGGGGTGAAGGGAAAAGTTGGGTAACTGGAAAGAAGACCCGAGTTCTTTCTTTGCAACCACTCTCTCGCTCTGTACTCCGAGGGCTAGTTAGCGTCTTCCTCTCTCTCCCTTTCATTTTCTTCCGTCCCTACTGCCACTCAAGTCAGAAGCACGCATCGATTACAAATATCAGGTCTGGAAGGGACAGCTGCAACAGCGGAAACGTCCATCCGAGGGGCTTGCGAACACAAAAGGCTGGGGGAAATGTTGACAACGACCACCAAAGTAACACGGACATTCCAATAAAGGTTACTCCTCTTGCCCCATTCCTCAGTCTCTTAGGCAATTCTCTCCAGAGGCAAATCTCAAAAGGACTTCGGCATTTAAAAAAATCTTTTTTTTTTTTTTCCTGATCAGTTTTATATGCACGTAGCCCCAAATCAGTAGCCTCCCAAATACCCTGGATTGAATTTAAAAACAAGTTTGGCCATTAAAAAAAGTCTGGAAAATAAAGGCTGCCTGTAGAAATTGACTTTATGAATGGGGCAGGCCGGTTTCCCCGGCACGGAATAATCACCCGAGCCGGAATGAATTGGCAGGAGCGGGAACCACATTTAAAGGGCCAGAGCGCAAATTCCCTCCTGCCCGCCCCCTCCGCCCCAAACCCCGCGGGCCTTGCCCACCCGCCCCGCCGCCCCTCCGCCCGGGCGGCCCTCCGCGGCGCCCCCCTTCCGGTCAGTGGAGGGGCGGGAGCAGGGGCGGAGGGGTGCAGGGGAGCGGTGGTGAGGTCCTGGAGCGGGTTTGGGTTGCAGTTTCCTTGTGCTGGTGATCCTGTCCCCTCCTCGCCAGCGCCAGGCTCCTCCCCCTCGGCGCGGATGACACTAGAACCTCCTTAAGTTGCGTCGCGCCACAGCTGTCTGCGAACACTGAGCTGCCTGGCGCCGTCTTGATACTTTCAGAAAGAATGCATTCCCTGTAAAAAAAAAAAAAAAATACTGAGAGAGGGAGAGAGAGAGAGAGAGGAAAAGAGAGAGAGACGGAGAGAGCGCGCGACAGAGCGAGCCACGCAATCTGACCGAGCAGTTTCTGCTCTCCCAGGTCACACGCCTCCTCCTCTCTGCTCCTCGCTACCCAGGTTGGTACTGGCAACTTTTTTTTTTTTAAGTTTGATTTTTTTTTTTTTTCCCCCTCGCTCCATTTGGGAGGACTTTAAAACACTTTAAACTCAACCCTCCTCTTTTGGAGAGTTGCTAGAGGCCTGGAAGGAAGGTCCCGGGATCGCTGTCCCCGGGGGGGAGGGAGCTGTCGGCCGAACTGGAACCGCTCAGTCACTGCAGGGCCCTCGGGAGAGCCGGGCTGCTGGCGATGTACTTGGGAGTCGTTCCCTGGGCGGCCGCGTCCCGGTTGGCCTCGCTCGGGAGGAGGCGTGCGCGTGTGCGCGTGTGTGCGCGTGTCCTGGGTGCGCGGGCGCGGCGCCGGGCGGCTCGCGGGGAGGTGGTGCCACTTCATAAGCTCAGGTGCTCAAGTACTTAGGAGCTCATCCAGGTCTCCCCCTTCTCTCCTCCGCAGGTGACCCGAGGAGAGCCTCAGCCTCCGAGCCGCTGAGGAAGCCCCGGTGCAGAAGAGCCTCACTTGCAGAATTCCAGCCACCTTCGCTCGCCCTCCTCCCCCTTTAGAATTTGGTTCCCCCTTTATCCTTCCGTACCTGTTTTTCTGGAATTTCTTTTTTCTTCCTCTTCTTCTCTTAGCTGAACTACTGCTTAAAGGTTTTTGTTTTTGTTTTTTGTATCTCCTTTGCTCACCTTTCCTTCCTAGTTTTCCCATTGCCCCACTGAAAACAAATCATTAAACGACCCCCGCCCCTCAGACGGCAGGAGCACCTGCAGAGCCTCAGAGCCCCGCGACCCTCCAGCCCGACCGCCCTCCCTCTCCGCGCGCGGGTTCCGGGCCCGGCGAGAGGGCGCGAGCGTAGCCGGGGCCATGGAGGTGACGGCGGACCAGCCGCGCTGGGTGAGCCACCACCACCCCGCGGTCCTCAACGGGCAGCACCCGGACACGCACCACCCGGGCCTCGGCCACTCCTACATGGACCCCGCGCAGTACCCCCTGCCCGAGGAGGTGGATGTACTTTTTAACATCGACGGTCAAGGCAACCACGTCCCTTCCTACTACGGAAACTCAGTGAGGGCCACGGTGCAGAGGTACCCTCCGACCCACCACGGTGAGTCCGCCCCGGGGTGCGGGGACCCCCGCCCAGCCGCCGCCGCTGCCCCCCCCACCCAGGCCGGGGAGGCGGGGAGGGACCAGGGGGTGGGAGACCCAGCCAAAGCCCCCAAGGGCCGTTCCTGCTACAATTAAAAAAATTGGGGCCCGGAAATGGGCGAGGAAGCAGTCTCAATCGCCGCGAGAGTGTGTTTTTAAAAAGTCGCAGCAGGCGTCTCTCCGCGGCTGGCTGCTCTGCCTCGGGCCTGGCGCTCACCTGGCAGGCGCCCTACTGCAACCCTCTGTCCCCGCACGGCCGGCCGCAGGTTCGGGGGGCCTCCGGGGGCCGGGGCTCCGGGGGCCGAGGCTCTGCCCCTGCGGCCACGGCTCCGTGGGCCCGCAGCCGGCGCCGGCCAAACCCGGCTCGGACTTGGTTCCTTCAAAAAGGGCTTCGCTCCCCCAGTTACCCTGTAGCTCTTTCTCGGGGTGGGGTTGTGGGGGCGGGGGGGGGGGCTTCTGCCAGCGTTCTTCGGTTTCTTTTTTCCGGCACATTTTCAGAAAGGCCCGAGAGAAATTTAATTCGCATCCCTGATCCCTGTTTTTTGACTTTTCCCCAAAGCTAGTGCATTTGGTTCCTAGGCAGGGCTGCCACCTCTTGGCTCTGAGGAATGGAATTCTGGTACTTTGACGGGGTTTTGGTGGAGAGACTACTGTCTTAAATGGGAGACATTTGAAATTTCCTAGACTCCCGGCTGCACAGAATTTTCCTGCGTCTTTGCTTTTAGGTTGCCTCATTGCCTGCTCCCCAAAACCCTTGCCTTACTCTCTCCTCCGGCCTACAACAGTCCCATTAGGCTCCCAAAGAAGATTTAGGATCCACCGGGGTTTCTTTCTTATGTGGGAGCGATGCCAGTTGTCTTTTCTTTTTTTTCTTTCTCTTTCACCTTTGAAAAGTTTAGACGAGTTCTAAAAGGTTAAGAAATCAAGCCCTGTGTAGTTAGGGGTCGGGGTTTGGGAAAGCTCTAAGCTTTCCAGCATAAGTGGGTTCCTAAAGAAGAAATAGAGGCACCATCTCAGGCAGAGAAAATGTGAGTCGTTCTTAGTCCGGGTGACTGGAGTCTTTCCTGGTCCCCCTACTCAGAGCCTGCATCGGCGCCGGTGACAGAGCCCCTCTGCAGCAGGCGTCCTCCGCCCTGCTGTCACCAGCTTTTAAACAATTGTTCCTGCGGATGGGGCGCTCTCTGCCCTTGTTCTGTGCAGATCAGCAGTTAAGTGGAAATGCGGTAGATGCAGACTTAATATTATTTACTATACTACTTCCTGCATAACATTGAGTCTTGACCCTTGGCGTTCAGAGAACTCTCCTTCCCTCTCCCCTCCCCTTCCTCTCTCAAGATTTTAGTTTCAGTATTGTTCTTCATGGTTAAATAGAATGTCAGATGCTGAGGCAGGTAGTGGATTAAAAGATCAATAAGTGTGTGGATTTGCACTTGCCCCCTGCATGGACCCGTCTCAGGGTGTATGGACGTGTCTGAGTTATGGCCGTCTGAAAACTCTGTATTTCGAATGCTCTGTGGAGAAGTAAAATATATATGTCAACAGGAATTTTGTGTCGCCGGGGGGCTCAGGTGAAAATCCACCTATGGCACTGGTGGAATCCCAACTTTGGGGGCAAATATGGGGTTTACTTTATTTTCCTTCTGGAGGATTTGGGAGGGTGAGAAAGGCAGAGTCCAGCCTTGGAAACTACCTCCAACAGTCTGGGCAATTAAAATGTCCTTGCAAATCCCACTTCAGGCCTTGCCAGTTATGAGCAAGCACTGAAGCAGGGTTCCGGGGAAGTAACCCCAAAATGCTCCCTCCCCTCCTTTCCGAGAGTGAGCACCCTCCTTCCTGCACTGGATTTTGGGAGTGGGCCTCTCTCCAGGTCCGTGTCTTTTCCTGGTGTGGAGCCCTTGTGCGGCCAGGCTCACCCCATCAGGCCTCATTATTCACAACCGACTCTTATCAGGCTGGCTGGGATTAGGTCTGGGATGGGGGACGCTGGGCCATGGAAGGAAACCAATAAATCAAGTCAGGTTCTAGAGATGGACCTCAGGGGATGCCATTAAGTGTATCTGGAGAGACCAAATATGCCCAGGGGCTCTCTCCACTCCGTCCCAGCACCTCTTGGGTGTCAGACACAGGCCCCTAATTCTGCTGGATTTGAGGGGACCTTCATGTGGTAGACATGGGCATAAAGCGTGTGCTGGCCAAGGTCCTGGGGCGGGGGGACGGGGGGCGGCGGCCTGGGTGAAGGAGTGGGCCCGCCTGCAGATCCAGGGTGTATTTGGGACTGCCCTGGCAGGGGGAGAACCCCCAGGTGTGTCGAGGGCCTCCGAAGCGGCTCTCACGGGCATTTCTCTCTCCTGCATCCCGCACCCCCCCTTCCTGCGCAGGGAGTCAGGTGTGCCGCCCGCCCCTGCTGCACGGATCCCTGCCCTGGCTGGACGGCGGCAAAGCTCTGGGCAGCCACCACACCGCGTCGCCCTGGAACCTCAGCCCCTTCTCCAAGACGTCCATCCATCACGGCTCCCCGGGGCCCCTCTCCGTCTACCCCCCGGCCTCGTCCTCCTCGCTGTCGGCGGGCCACTCCAGCCCGCACCTCTTCACCTTCCCGCCCACCCCGCCGAAGGACGTCTCCCCGGACCCGTCCCTGTCCACTCCGGGCTCGGCCGGCTCGGCCCGGCAGGACGAGAAAGAGTGCATCAAGTACCAGGTGCCGCTGCCCGACAGCATGAAGCTCGAGTCCACGCACTCGCGGGGCAGCATGACCACCCTGGGAGGGGCGGCCTCGTCGGCGCACCACCCCATCACCACGTACCCGCCCTACGTCCCCGAATACAGCTCCGGACTCTTCCCGCCCAGCAGCCTGCTGGGGGGCTCCCCCACCGGCTTCGGATGTAAGTCGAGACCCAAGGCGAGATCCAGCACAGGTAGGAACCTTCTCCGCCTCCCCCGGGGCCTTTTCTCCTCCTCCCACCTCTCCTTTCTCCTAAATCCAGGGCGCGGAGGAGGGAGCCTCAGTCTGGCCCCTGGGGGGTGGGGGGATCTGGTTGGTGTTCCAGACCCTTCTGAGATTTGATTTCTTCCCTTTCTTCCAACGGGGGCAAAGAATGAGGTGTGTCCTATCTCATTCCAGTCCACAGAGCAGAGGGGAAGTGGAATCTAATTTAACTACCCCCCCCCGCCCCCGAGCTGGGGAAGGAAAAAGACAAACAAAAACAAATACCCTGTCCCGCCTGCTCAGGGACCTTTGGGTTCTGCCAGTAACCTCTAGTCAGTTTCCAAGACCAAATGGAAAGCCCAGGGAATAAATCTTTAGTGTTTAATGCTAAAACGAAACCTCCTCAAACCTAAACAAACACAGGTCCCTCCTTTGACCCCCCTGGCCTCTGCAGCCCCATTTGCCTGTTCCTCTGGGCTCAGCTCAGAGGGGGCCATGCAGGCAACAGAGGACATGGATAAATAAAGCATGGGTATATTTTTGTGTGTGGGGGGGCAGGACCCTCCTTGACCTATTCTTTGCATGGAAAAGAGGCTGCCCCCCTAAGTTCTGGGAGAGAGGTGGGCTCTGCCCTGGGGAAACTGGAATGAAAATCCAAAGTCCAGGGGGGCTAGTTACCTGTGGTGGCCGCACAGGCAGGGGCAGGAAGGCATCTCAGGACCTATTCCTCTACTGATCTGAAGCCAGAGGAGGTAGGCAAGACTGAACGACATTCCCTAGTTGTGGGTCTCCGCTTCCTCTGCTCATCCTCTCTCAAAAAAGCACCCCCTGTCTAAAAGCGTGCTGCATCTTTATTCTCTGGCTCTAGACACTTGCTTAAAAAAAAAAAAAAAAAAAAGCAACACCAAACCCACACAAAATATTCTGGCTTTCAAAATAAAATAATCCATCGCCAATGTTTCTTCTAATCCAAGCAGTGGAGAGACCTTGGGATTTTCTCAGATGAGATTTAGCTAGTTTAAAAGATGATTTTTCTTCAAAGATTGTTCTGTCTCCTTGGGTGGGTCCATTTCGGGGTGGGTCTGTTCTGTCCTGGCTCATTCCAACGTCTCACCTCCGCCCTCTATCTATGGAGATCCTATATACAAAGAAGTGGTGAAAATCACTTGTCTTTTATGGGTGGGACGAGCAGTCTTGAAACCGGGCTTGCAAAACCCGGGTTTGAAAAACTTCCGAGGGAGGGCTCTGGGAGCCCAGTGACCATGAGATCAGTTTTCAGGGTTTTTTTTTTTTTTTCCAGGGTGACATTCACTCCGACTGCCTGGGCAGGACTGTCTCTATTTAGTTGATATGTTTTAGCTAATCCAATTATTTTCAGACTGCTGCGTGCGACAGTTGCATTGTTTATCCCGCGCCAGGAACTTTAATAGAGTCCGGATGCGGTTAGGCTGACAGAGAAACTCAGACCTGCATGTTCAGTACATGAAAGTCGGCAGAGGGAGAGGGAGGTAGGCTCGCTGGTGGAGTCAAAGAGAAAGCAAGAGGAAGGGAGAACAGGCGGAGGAAAGTGGCCAAGCTGCCTTGCCGGGGGCTGGGCTTGGGCGCGGAGTGGAGGGTTCCAGAGAAATGGGGTTCAGCTTGGCTCAGAAAAGCCGGGATTAGATGAGGGCTTGAGGACTGATTTCAAAGAGAGCAAACGGATGCATTTTGAGGTAGTGATGGGAAATTTTTTTTTTTTTTTTTAAGTTCTCTTTTCTGGTAGCGCAAAGTTTTGGGGGAAAGATCGTGGTATCTGAGGCTGGGGTGGTGGTTTGAGTGGAGGAGGGGACAGAACGACTTTTCCAGAGTCTCTGGTTTCTCTCCCTTCTGTGTGCACGCCTTCGGGCCTTCGGCTAGTCTTTTCCTTCCTCTCCCTCATTCCTCAAGCCCCTGAATATTTGGGGGTGGGTGGGAGGAAGGGGTGCAGTTACCCTAAACCAGAACCAGGAGCACCTACGGACCGATTGTATTATATATAT